AAAAGAGGCCAGCGCTCTGGGGACTGCCTCAGTTATATTTGCTGTGTAAGGCGAGCACCAGCCAGCGCCGCTAGAGTATCTTTCCCGCCTTCTGCATTTAATTAGCAACCATTTGTACTATCTTGCATCTTCCACTCAGTCACCTTAAACTGGTCAATATGATTCTGAGCAGAAAGAACAGGGAGGGAGACAGCCATAGAACACTGAGACTTTCTCATCTGTTCATTACACAGAGCCAAGAATGTGTGTCCCGTCACCAGGCCACGCTGGGTGTAGGTAACCGACACCTCGTGTGGCTCTCCCCAGTCTGTCTGCAGCCTCCACGGCCACAAACAAGCCTTCTTCTGTGACTGGGTCAAATGCCTGGAGTGCTGGGTACATTGTTCTGAGATTTGATTAATAATTAATAAGCAGAACACAATTGGGAAATCAGGGAGGAATGAAGTTTTTCAGCTCAGCCCCAGCAGGGGATGCCGGCGACCTGGACTGGGGGGCTCTAACAGAGTCCCCAGCCCTCATGGTCTGCTGTCCCTGAGCAGAGCTCCTTGTTCCGTGTTTCCTGAGGTGCCAGCGGTACCTGCTTGCTCTCTGAGACTCTGCTGGCTTCCCTGACTCAAAGTAATCTTGCCCTCCTGCCATCCAGGACTTTCTGCACAATCATTTTGAACGGAAGAGAATCAGAGCCTGAGGGCAACTTCTGGAAGTTTCTACCCAGGGCTGGCAAAGAAAATTTTTCCCTTCTTTCTCAATCCCCAACTCTCCCTTAATTAAGATGATCACAAAGCTTGCAAGCCCCATAATATTCTACGTCTGCTGACATCAGGACACTTGCTTGAAGGGAGCTGCAGTCTCTGTTGCTTAGTTTGCTGAGGCCTCTCCTTGTGGCTCCAGAGAGCAAGACTGAACCACAGCAGGAGGCCGAGTGGCTGCTGGCAGCTCCTTTCGTCTCTGACAGGTACCGTGCAGGCCCCGCCTGGGGGGCTGCTGATCATGTACCTAACCAAGGGCAAAGGGAGCATTGATGGAATCTTGTGCCCAGGACCCCGGATTTCTACCACAGCACTGCTCCCTGCAGGTTGCTAGAGCAACCACTGGCAAGCGGGCAGTCCCATGCTTGCTTCCGTTTCATAGAAGTGTTGGAGCTGGACAACTGAACTGTTGGATCAAAGAGGATTCATGCCTCACAACAATCCCCATGGCTGCAGAACTGTGTTGGAAAGAATGCTGAGGTCTCATCTCGTCTTGGCAGGAGCAAGTGTCGTTCGGGGAGGATGGGGTAAAGAGGTGTGCAGGTTTTGAGGTAGACAGAAGTGGAAGCTGCGAAGGTTTGTCATCAGCATAGAAGACAGAAGTGTGGGGACAGCAAGAATGCTTGTATTTACCAATGCTGACCTTGGTTGACCCCTTTATCAAAGAGTAACTGAAAATAGGAGACTGGAGTGATTTCCTCACTGTAACGAGTGGCACAGTTGGGACTAGAACCCCGCCAGGCCCCAGTGACAACCCGAGGCACAGACTAACCTGGTGTCATCTTTGCTTTTCTTTCTCTAAAATGAGGACCACCCCCCCCAACCCCATCCAGGGTGGGAAAGGCCTGGAACTGTATCAGAGAGTGACAGGAGCTGCTAGGGGAGGGCCAGGCAGTCATAGCAACATGGAGTTGCACTGGGTGGCAGCTCTTCTCCCAGACACTCTGGACACGGGTGAAACCCCTCCTTTGTGCAGCTCCTCAGGGGTGCGCCTGCCAAGTTTCACCCTCAGAGGCAAGAATGAGGAAATGGGGTAAAAGGGCTTGGCCCTAAACCCCACAGCCTAGTGTGGAGTCCAGAGGGAAGGTAGTGTTCGGGTGGAATCTGCTTGAGTTAGAATCCCGTGAGCTCAGGCTAGTGCCCTCGGAGCCTGGTTCAGCAGGTACCTCCCTCAAAGGATTACAGGTAGGCACTTCCTAGATATCTGTTGATCAGACACCACATGCAGGATCTTCTGCTTGGAACATTTCTACACGTTTCCTCCTGGACTAGAATGTGAGTTCCCTGAGGACAAAGACCACAGATTATTCGTCTGGGCATTCTCAGTGCCCAGCACTTACTTATTTTTTTAAAGAATAAATAACTTAATGAGTTCTGTCCCCCCTCCTTCATTCATGACCACAATAAAGAGCTCCAGGAGACAAGACAAAAGAAACAAAATCCCAGTTTTCAACAGAGTGCCAAACCAAAATGCTAAATTTTTTTCAAAGTACTATAATTCTGTTTTAAAAAACCAAGTCACCAGCACAGAGTTTGGGTTTTCAACACTAACATCAACTGCAAAAAGAAGAGATCCCCGAGAACAAACAGTGCCCTACAGGGAGAACTCACTCTCTACACAGCCCACCACCTGCTCCCCCAAATTCCATCTGGTTAACAGAGTGGGTATCTGTCCAAGGGTGTCACAGCTTTGCCTCATCGTGTGCCAGCAGCAGGCAGGTGAGAAAGCTGTGATGACCAGGATCTGGAAAATGGAGGAGACAGGACATTCTTACTGTCTTCCCCAGGGTGGGGCTGCCCTTCTTATGAAGAGCAGGGACTTGGGGTCACCTGAATGACCTATAATCTCATCTTCTCTTCTGACCTATCTGATTCCCAGTGTTATCTGCCATCTCATTCTCAAAAAACACTTGGGATGATTGTCATTGTTTCTTCAGGTCTATGTCTATATCGAGGACTATTAATAAAGCCACATCCTAGTTGTATGATCTTAGACGAATGTCTTTCCAGTTTCTTGAGCCTCAGTTATCTTGTCTGTAAAATGGGGATAACAATGACCAACCCCAATTGAGTTTAAAATTCCATAATCTATCTGGAGAACTTAGCCCAATGCCTGCCACATAGTAGGTATAGAATGAATGAGAGCAGCTTTTACCGTAAGACCCAGAGAATGCAAAATTCTGAAACGGGACTTTCAGGAACAAAAGGAAAGGACATTGGAGTATGTGGGAACTATTTGATAGAGCAGCAATTGTCAACCTTTATCATCTCACAGTGCACGTAAACTAATTACTAAAATTCTGCAGCACATAAAAAAAGTTATGCCGATTTGACAAAAAAAAGTATAATTTTGATTCAATCACAGCTACTGTTGTGTTGGCGATTGTCATTTCTTCTTTTTAATTTGATAATCTAAGGGAAAAGAGATCAGTGCCCCTGACTAAATAGTCAGGTGTTGCATGTTTTAAAGCTTTTTGCAGCACACCAGTTGAAAATCGCTGTGATAGAGAATCCGGAACTCTGCACAAGGGGTAATAGCCTAGGGACCTCTGAAATGTCTAGAATGTTTGCCACTCTCCTATGTTGTAATTTTCTCCTGCACCTTTTAAAAAATCCTCACCTGAGGATATATTTTTTTAATTGGTGTTAGAGAGAGGGAGGGAGGGAGGAAGGGAGAGAGAAAAACATCAATTGGTTGCCTCCTATATGTACCCCAACCTGGGATCAAACCCGCAACCTAGGTATGTGCCCTGACCTGGAATCGAACCCGCAACGTTTTTGGTGTATGGGACGACACTCCAACCAACTGAGCCACCTTGCTGGGCTCTCTTGCACATTCTTACTTCATTTAGATCAGCTGTTCAATTCTTTAAATGAAAAAGGCCCAACTATATAGGGAAGTCTATTTTTTGGGGGAAAAGAAAGAAACTATAAAATATCAGGGAAAGACTTAGTAGAGGAGGGAAGAGCTTAGTTTGGGAGCCTCCAGGATTGAAGAGAAGGGCATTCAGAATGTTGAAATGAGAACAGGAGCTCCCTGGAGGCCTCACCACTCCTCAGACCTGAGCAGACTGTTCCTCATTTCCTCTCTGCTGCTCCCAGAGCTCTGGTCCACAGAGCAAACATCACAAACCACGCTGGTTTGGGAAATAGTCTGCTTGGACTCTGAGTGGTGCCATGGCCCTACCTGGTGTAGCTTGACCCACATACCCAGTTACTAGGATATTTAAAGGACACCTGATTCTTTCTGTGACACCGCGGTTACCTTAAACCTCCTAAGACATGACTACAAAGGAGAGAATCCCAGCCTCTGGCTTCGGTCCATACAGGAACAAGTCAAATGGCCCGAATCTGGGTCAGAAAGAAAAGCTGCCATTCTCAGGCAGAGTAAGAACCGCTTGCCTGCCTGTCCACATCCACAGACAACGGCTCTCAACCCTGGCCTGCACATCGGAGTCACGTGGAGAGCTCTGAAAACAGATTTCAGGGCCTCCCCAGACTTACTAAGTACTTCAGGGGTAACGCCTGGGGATATGTCGTTTCTAAAAGTGGCATAGGTGACTGAGATATGAAGCCAAGGTTGAATCCAATGCTTTATGGAAGCATCATGTTTTGAATTCTGGGAAATTACTAGGGTTCCATACAAGGAGACAAGACGGTTATCCTTTTTCCCTAAGTGGCATCAGCAACAAGTCTGTTCCAGCTTCCCTGGCGCTCCGGGAGGAGGTGATCAATCAGGAGGCAGCTGCACTCAACTGCCTAACCTGCCCCAGCCTTTCCTCAGGGTCCCGAACACTGGAGATGCCTTCTTCATCGGCACAGAACTCAAGAAAAGGTGCACTTCCTACTGAAATCAGATACAGATGTAAGAGCGTTTTTGGGGCACCTGTTTTGTGGCAGGCCCTGTACCAAACATAAATCACAAGCCCGAGAGAGAGGCACTACATCGTTCCTGTTTGGGGTGCAATCCTGGAAAAGGAGTGTTCCTCAGAGCTTTACCAGCTCATCACAGCACAGTCCTCATGGGAATATATCACTGATGATCAACATACAATTTGGGGTTTATTGGTGACTTATTTACTCATGAGCAACATACAGTTTGGGCTTTATTGACTGATGAGTCTTCTCAAAATTCTTTTGGTCTCAATATTCTAATGGTGGATGTGGCTAGGCTGAGGGAATGACCTTGAAATTTATCCGAGGTATATCCTCTCGGGCTGCCAAAACAACTCTCATCTTTTTTTTTTAAGTAAAAATATGGGATGCTTCATGAATTTGTGTGCCATCCTGTTGCAGAGACCATGCTAATCTTCTCTGTATTATTCCAGTTGTAGTACATGTGCTGCTGAAGTGAGCACTCTAGTCTGTATTTTAATCATGAAAATAATTCCGTTTTGCCTGTCCTCTGGAAAACAAGCAAACCATTTGCTGGGAATCAAAGAGTTGTAAACAAGGGACTGCAGGAGAGTATGTAGGTACTTTTTGGTGGAAAGCATTAGATTGACCTCAGCTGATTGGCACTATGAGCTATGATTGTATTGTCTCCATTTTTAAAGATAATGAAACCAAGGCTCAGAGAACCTCAGTTACTTGCCGAACACACAGCTAGGACAGGGAGGGCAAGAAGTTGACCCCAGGTTTTCTGGTTTACAGGTCAGTGCTTTCACTGTAGCTCCTCTACAGTGACCCCAATAGCCCTTTTGGATAGCTAAACAGAAGATATTTTAGGTTCGGTTCCAGATCATCTAACAAGACCAGTATAGCAATAAAGCGAGTCATAATCTTATTGCGGGTATAGGGTCCTGCCTAATTCGCAAAACACAAAGTGCAATAAAGCGAAGCACCATAAAACAAGGTATACCTCTAGTTACTTATGGGCAGATTTATAGTGGTTGAAAATTCATATACTGTTTTTATTAGTCACATACAAAAATCATTTATTAAGATCTAATAGAATTTTAGGAGGACATAATTATAAAAGTAATGAGGGTTCAGAGGGGCTGAGTGACTTGTCTAAGGTCAAACAGGTCTTGTATTGGCTCCAAAATAGGAGCACTTTGTAGCTAAAGGCACACAGCACGGTGGACAGGAAATCACACGAGACCAGGTGTCAGAAGCCATGGATTCCTGCCCCTGTTCCAATCTGTATTAGTATAGCACTTTGGACAAGTCCCTTGTCCTTTGTAAAATGGAAACAATGATCTCTGACCTACTGTATTGAGAAGTGAAGATCCAAATGGATGTAAAAGTATTCTGAACACCCCCTCCAAAAAATAACAGAAGGAAAGAACTTGGGCGGGTCGGTCAGCCCGACTGGATTCAAATTTCAACTCTGCCGCTTACTGGATGTGTGACTTTGAGCAAGTGATTTTACCTCTCTGATGCCTCAGTTTTCTCATCTGAAAAATGGGGCTACATCAAGTACCTAGCCCAGAGGTGGTTGTGACGATTTACACAGGGATTGCCCGACATATACAGCACTCCATCAATAACGTCAGCCACGATCACAGTTATACTTGTGCCTCTCGGATCTTCAACTTCTCCGAAACGCGGACTTTCTGAGCTACCAAACATACCCCGGGCTCCAGCTTCGGTCCTATTACTCTCTACCTTCTTCCGTGGACCCTGTCTCTCCCTTCCCAGTCTCCCTTCTGCACAGCCCGTGGGAAACCCCTACAAGAATCCCAGTCCCCCGGCCCCGTTTCGGCGCGGTCTCTTACTCGACGACCTTGGCCGGGTGCCCGTGGTGGCCGTAGACCAGCGCCCGGACCCGGGAGCCCTCGGCAGACGCGGAGCAGGAGGCGGCAGCGGGCGGGCGGCAGCCCGAGGCGGGGAGCAGCCTCCGCCGCAGCAGGGCCGGGGTCCGCGCCTCCCACAGCGCGCGGACCCACATGCTCACCGCAGGGATCTCAGAGCCGGACGCCCCGGACACGTCAACTTCCCGCGACCGCGCGCCAGCCCCGCCCCGCCTCGTAACCACGCCCCTCGCTCCTTTTAAAGGGCCATCTCCTTCTTCCGCTGCCCGCGCGGTGGCGCCTGGTGAGATTGCGAGGGGAGCTAGGGACGCGCGGTGCGGGGACCTGCGGGAGTCGCGGGGATTTTGAGCCCGCCAAAGTTGATCTCCCAAGGAGCGTCCGAGACTGGCCTAAAGCTATGTCTGCAGTCTGCAATTTGTTGTTTGATTTTGGGGAAGACATTTCCCCTCCCCCGACCTCAGTTTCTCCTCCCCACCATTTATTTATTTATTTACTTATTCATTCATTCATTCATTCATTTATTTAAAATTTTTGTTATTGATTTCAGAGAGGAAAGGAGAGGGAGAGCTAGTAACATCAATGATGAGAGAGAATCATTCATTGATCGGCTGCCTCCTTCATGCCCCACACTGGGGGTCCAGCCCATAAGCCCGGGCATATGCCCTGACCGGGAATGGAACCGTGACCTCCTGGTTCATAGGTCCATGCTCTATCACTGAGCCACGCGGGCTGGGCCCCACCATTTATTATTGAGTGCTCACTGTGCCAGGCCATTTAAGGCATTATCTCATTTAATCCCCACTATCTTCTCATAGCATAGGAAGGCAAAGCTTACTTCCCTTCACTAAGTAGAGTACATGTAAGCTGCTGTGGAGGCAAGAATACTGGGTTTGGAGTTAGAAGATTTAACTTCAAATCCCAACCCTGCCACTTCCTACCTTGGGCAAGTGACTGAAACTCGGAATCTTTCCTCATAGGTATAAGGGGGAGAATATTCCTCCTCTAAGATTGTTGTGAGGGCCCTGGCCATTGTGGCTCAGTTGGTTAGGCATCCTCCTGTGCACCAAAAGGTTTCTGGTTCGATTCCCTATTAGGGCACATGTCTGGGTTGCAGGGCTTGATCCTGGCAATGCAGGAGGCAGCTGATCAATGTTTCGCTCTCACATAGATGTTTTTCTCTCTCCCTCTCCCTCTCACTTACTCTCTCTCTAAAAATCAATAAAAGTATTTTTAAAAAGATTGTTGTGAGGATTGATGAAACAATAGAATAATGTTATATGGACAGGAGAGCACCTTGTAAAAATGCTAAGTGTGTTCAGGTATAAGGGAGGGATCACACGGAGGAGGGCCCCCTCTAAAAATGCTCAGAGTAGCCTTGACCGGTTTGGCTCAGTGGATAGAGCGTCGGCCTGGGGACTGAAGGGTCCTGGGTTCGATTCCAGTCAAGGGCAGGTACCTTGGTTGGGGCACATCCCCAGTAGGGGAGTGCAGGAAGCAGCTGATCAATGTTTCTCTCTCATTGATGGTTTCTAACTCTCTATCCCTCTCCCTTCCTCTCTGTAATAAAATCAATAAAAATATATTTAAAAAATAGTAAAAATGCTCAGTGTAGAAAGGAATTAAGTGGGACAATTGAAGTTCTTTGTAAAAAGATGTAGCCCAATAAAGACACTAGATCATATTTTTCACATTTCTGGTGGAGTGGAGACACGAGCATACCTAAAACCCAGTTGACTGTTAAGAACATGAGAGAGGGCACAGGTGGAGTCAAGGAGCCATGTCTGGGATGGGGCAGGGGCAGGGTGGGGTATCTTGGAGAAAGTGCTGATGAAGCCAGTCCTGTGACTCCAAGTCTTCAATATGCATAAAAACCACCTGAGGTTTCATCTCAGACCTACTGAATTAGAATCTTGGGGAGGGGTCCAGGAACGTACATTTCTTACAAGCTCTTAAGAATATTCGGATGCAGGTGGCCCAGGAAACAGGCTTCGAGAAACACCGAGGCAGGTCTGTGAAGGATAAGGAAGAGTTCATTCCTCTGGGTTTTATTGACCCAAAGCTTTTTAACTCAGAGTCTTTCCTCTGAGGAAGAGAAGAAAGCTAAGTGCTGTGATGAAGGGTGCAGGGCTGGATTCTGGCAAATCTGGACTTGAGTCCTGGCTCGGCCACTTTCTAAAACCACTTCAAAGTGATTTTGGACAAGTCACTTGACCTCTCTGTGTCTCCATTTCCTTATCCTTGAAATGAAGGAAATAATAGTGTCTGTTTCAAGGCTGTTGTGAGGATCAAGTGAGATATTATTCACTTCACTTGAAGCACTTAGTATAAGAATGCTTGGCACATGAAAGCATTGGATGAATGTTATTGGGGGGTTATTGTGAAGACTAAATGAGAAATGTCACATGTAAAACACACTGACTAGAGTCTGGCCCATAGGTCGTGCTCACAAAGTATTTGTACTTGCTTTTATTATAGAGAACGTTGGTGTCCCATCATGGGGGAAACACTTGGTCCCTCACAGCGTTCTCTCTCTCTCTCTCTCTCTCTCTCTCTCTCTCTCTCTCTCTCTCTCTCTCTCACAATACCCACACATACACACACACACAATACCCAGTCTTGCTTATCTTCTGTTTTCACAGTGACACACAGGTCGATGTCTGTTGTAAGACTCCCTAGGTGACTTTGAGCTGTTGACATTATCTTCTCTACCAAATTAGTTCCTCTGCATTATGGACAGCCCAGCCAAGAAGCCTGGAAAATCACCCAGCAGGTGTCTCTCCTTGGGGCTGGACTCAGGCCCCATCCATCCTGATAGTCATCACTTTTGGTTCAGGCCATTGGCTCTTGTTTGAAAGGTGTCAGCAGCCTTCTTTCTAACTGAGATCCCCTCTCTTCTTTCTGCTTCCCCAATTCCTTTGCAGTGGTTCTCAACCTTTTGGCCCTTTAAATACAGTTCCTCATGTTGTGACCCAACCATAAAATTATGTTCGTTGCTACTTCATAACTGTAATGTTGCTACTGTTATGAATCGTAATGTAAATATCTGATATGCAGGATGGTCTTAGGCGACCCCTGTGAAAGGGTCGTTCGACCGCCAAAGGGGTCGCGACCCACTGGTTGAGAACCGCTGCTTTAGGGGGAACCAGAAGCTACAGTTCTTTGTAAAACACCATGAACTATTGATATATCAAACTTTAAGTTGTAAACAAAGCTATGATTCTATGCTAATTCTAGCATTCTCTCACACTACTGACACATACTAAAGTCTTCAGAAAAATGTATGTGGGAAAACACCTTAAAACAAAGAAAAAATTATATTCATTGTCAGTAATCTACCTTCTTGCAAATTAGAAAAATATGACTGGTTTTAATTCAGTGGTAATCCTCCCCCCCCCCCCACCACCAACATGGCTTGAGGAACACCTGGGTTCCTCAAGGGGCAAGTTTTAGGAGTTCAAGTCCAATTGTTCCGGCCTCACATTCAAGACCTTTGCACTCTGTCTCCCAGACTGTCTCCCAGACTGTCTTTGGACCATGCACAGCCCATGATCCGCCCGTATCTGATAGAATTTCCCAGAACTTCCATGTCTCGGGCCTTCATT